TTTGGCTCCCCCCTGGTAAAATTTGATCTCAGGTTTAGCCTCTTTATGTGATACAGTTTTGGTGGTCTTGTAGATTTGCATAAGACTGCATTTTGCAGAGGCACCTTAAAGTGGTTCTAAAGTCAGAAGTTTTTTTTACCCGCTCTAAAAACATACCTGAGCCTGACCTTATCCAGCAATGTGTATGAGAGGCTGTCTCGGCTCTCTCGCTCTCCATTGGTTCAGATACAACAGCAGCCATTGGCTCCTGCTCCTGTCAATCAGAGCCAGTGACGAGGAGCCGGCTTGGGGCTGAGCCCATAAAGTCCATAGGACACACAGAGCAGGTTGTGGGAGCAAGCCCACACAAGTGCCCTCAGAGCAAGCGGATTGCTCTGGAGGAACTCGGCGGGGGGGGATGGACTCCGAGCGCCAGTGAGGGACCCCAGAAGGATCAGGGCTGCTCTGTGCAAAACCACAAGTCACCCCTTAACTGCGTAGGCAATTTTTTGGTAAAGGTAAATTAAACCTTTAAGAATAGTGCATGGTTGAGATAATTGCTTTTCTTGTGGCCCAATAAGCAGGTTTCAGAGTAAATAAATTTTATAACCAGGAACCCTGAATGCTAAGGAGTTTTATTGATTATAAATTATTTCCCCTGATGTCCTCACGGTCTGTGTGTGTCCCTGAAAGGGTCAAACTTCTGTATTTTGGTGGGAGTTGTAAATCTGTTTCACCAGCTCAGACCTTCTCTTCTTTCTCCATAGGAAGTACTTGCAACCTCAACTGGGCCAAGTTGTACCAATAACATGCCCTATGCAGTCTATGAACAGCCAAAAATCTCTTTAATGGCAGATTAGTGGCCTTGAGAGACACCATTTGCACCCAGCATTTTCCTTATTCGAAAGCCATCATTAAACAAAGCTGCCTTTCATATGTAACATTGCTCAGAACTGTAGGAAGAAGGTGACATTTCATTTTCTTTTGTTTAGAACAGGGGTCTCCAAACTTTTCAGAGTCCCACCCCAAACCTTCCAAGGAGGGAGAAGGATTGGGGTGGGACTCTGAGCTTTGAACATTCAGTCTACAGGCAACCTGGAGGCAATCTCAGAAGAGGTTAGAAGGGAATGCGTGAAACTGACTACAGCTATCTCTCTGGACGCAATGGGGAAAGGCCAAAACTAACAGGACAGGTGCTAGCAAGTCTTTCTTCATGAGAAGCCCTGAGGGATCCCTGTGTCAGCTCCTGAGAGGGGGAATTTTATCTTGATTGATTCTTCTTTGACCTGCTGGACCACTCCTTCACCACATGAGGGCGCTTGATCTCCATCTTTCCCAGCTATTTCCATGACCAGACCAGAAAGGAGAGGGAATCTTCAGGATATATATTCACATGCGTATTACTTATACGCTTTCTGGTTAGTGCGCATTCCTATCATTTGCACTGGGAATCAAGGAGCACCTTTTATTGGACTGTGTTTTATTATTATCATTCATGATTTACCAGTAGCGCTGCATTTTGTATACATATTAATTTTGGGACTTTTTATGCGTTTTCCTTGAATGTTCAGCTGCTAAATTACTGAGAGCGCTTACTATATCTTGCACTGTTTTCATAACTATTTAAACCTTGCAGCGTTGGACAGCACTACTGCAAGGGAAGATTATCCCTTTCCCCAGAAATGGGCTTTATGGGTGTCAGAATTCGAAAATGCAAAGTGTGAGTGAACCTTGAAATGGTTCCTTATATTATGAATGTAGTGAGTAGGGATCATGACTGGTACACCCTCATAGTCCATTGGACCCTCTGCACATCCTACATTTCCAACCTAGTGTAAAAGAAAATACTTACAGCTTGATGGCCCGCAGCAATGAAGTCATTGTAGTGGTTGAGGCATTTACTTCTCTGCTGATTAACATCTATAGCTAATGCTGCAAAACCTAAAATCTATTTTTATAAGTGGAAGGTATCAATTGTTGGCTTGAACATTGAGATTCATGTTATAAATCTATATGTAGAACTATACATACCTTATTAAGGTTTTTAATAAGCATTCTCCAGAGTGGATATTAACAAGTCCCATAAGGACAGACCCCTGTAGAATACACCCTGTGGAACCTGTTATGACCTGTTTGTGAAAGGTCTCAGAGGAAGTCATACCTAACACACAATATCATTATATTGTGATTTCTGTCTCCTATATATGTTATTTTAATCCTGTCTTATGTTTATTCTAAAAATAATATAGTGACATATTCAGACATGTTATTTTCGGGGGATTCATTATATAGTTGCAATGAATCAGCCAAGACATTGGTCTTTCTTCTGTTGGAGGCCACAATGATGAGATTTCGCTGCAGTAGATTGTGTCCCAAGGCCCTAACCTGCTAGCCATAAGGCTACCATTGGCCATGTGACAGTTTAGGAGAAATGGAAATTCTAGTGGGGATACACAAGATGGCTGAAAGTATTGATCTCAGGTTTCCAGTTATTGGCATACTGTTAATGCTAGAGTATACAAGGACATTTTGGTCAGTTGTGCTTTTCCAACTGTCAGGGATCCAGGTATGACCAGAGATGTCTGGACTGACACAGGGAAACGCAGGCTTTGAGTATGGTGTAAAACAATATAATTTATTAAGACTATACAGTACACACAGTGCAAAACCCAAACCTCCAACAAATCACAATATGTGCGGAAACACAGACGCAGTCAGGCAGGCCGGGTCGGTAGCTATCGGTCAGACAAGGTACAAAGGAGCAAACAGGAGAGTGGTCAGGAATAGCCGGGGTCGGTGCAGGCAGAGTTCTAGCAGAGTCCCGATCAGCCAGGAATATCAGACAGGAAGCAGACAGGATCAGGTACAGGGGCTCATGGGAACAAACACCAAGGCACTGACTGCAGGCCTGGCCTGCATTGCTTAAATACACATCCTGCAATCAGCCTCAGGTGATGGCTTGACTGCAGGAGTGAGATTCTGGCAGCTGAGAGCACCCGCTGGCCGGCACTGGTACTGCAACCCACAAGGCAGGTGAGCCCCAGCACCACCTGTGGTGAGTCCATTCCTGACACCAACCCTGTAGGAATAGTTTGGAGAAGACACTTTTCTGTTCCAGCATGACACTGGACTTATGTACAAAGCCAACTCTGTTAAAAAGACAAGTGTAACATCTTGTTAGATAGGTGATATGTTAGATAAATTTAGTTTTTAGCTCCACTGTAATCAGTTGAGCTGCTTGTGATTATCGTGGGCCTCTCTGTGTCTCACTGGTTGCAGGATTGATTGCTTCCCTCTGCTTCTGGAGGATTCTGGAAAATAGTGGGATTGGAGAATAAAATCAGCAGCTGAATATTTATGTGGTCCCAGCCAATACCTGGGGGAGGGTTCCCAGGTAGTGGCTGGGAGGGAGCATAAATAATCTGATGCCTGTAACACAGGGGTTCTTGTCCCAGCCTTGAAGGGTTTCTGCCCTTTTGGGCAGTCCAGCTGTATTTTCTATTGCTGATCCAGGTTCCAGCTGGCTAGCTGGGGGGCCAATTTTGCCACATCCTGCTGGAGCTGACTTAGGGACTTTTTTTTGGGGGGTATCTGGTCTGGAGGGTTCACTGGAGCGGTGTCTGGAAAACATTGGAAGGAGGCATCCAATTATCCAAGGACATTAGTGAGGACAGACTGGTGTGTGAGATCCCAGTGACTCTGTGCTGCTGCTATCCCTCTTGAAGAGTCAGCTTGTACTGAAAGGTGGACATTTTTTTCTGGTGTTCCTGTGTAGCTCAGCTTGTTATTTGCTGCTGCAAGGACTATGTTAATAATATTTAGGAAGAAGATAGGTGTCCTCCAGTTACTACCCAACGTTGTTGGAGTATCCCACAGTTACCTTTCATCCATCCAAGTTCAAGTTTGTTCAATAAAGCATCAAAAGAATACCACTAGATTGATCATTGAGCTGGAGGAATGACTTAGACTGTGTGCTTAGCTAATAGAGCACCTACTTCGGAAATAAATTTGGGATCAAATCATCAGGCCCTCTAGAAGGGAGAGCTGCACATGGTTTGATAAATGTGGTGTGGAGGAGCCACATAAAGCACTGGCCTTAACTCCTATTAAACCTCAATTGCAAGCCAGGTCTTCTCATCCAACTTAAGTGCCTGACCTCACAAGCGCTCTTTTGGCTGAAAGAGTCCTCTCCAAAATCTCATGGAAAGGCTTTCCCGGAAGAGTGGAATCTGTTATAGCTGCAAAGTAGAGAGGGGGAACTCCACATTAATGCCAATGGATTTAGAATGGGATGTCCAACAAGCTCCTCTAGGTGTGATGGTCTGGTGTCCACAAACTTTTAGTCAAATAGTGTATCCCATCCCAGGGGGTCTGAGAGATAAAAGCCAGAATGTGACACAATGTTCCAACAATCTATCTCGTGGAATTTCCTGGTGTGATGGATTTGGTAAAATGCCTATTTCGTTTCCTATTGAATATATATATATATATATATATATATATATATATACACTATTTTTATACACATTTTTATACATATTTACTTTTATACTTTAATACATATGTTGTGTGAATATTTTCTGCCTGCTGGGCTTTGTGGTACTATAAGAAATCCTTGCTTAAGAAATGTCTGCTCACACACACAGACCCCCTCCCACTGTGTGATTTGTAAGACAAAAGAATGTTTTCCTATGAGATAAGACTTGGAAGAAAATCACACCTATACCATGAGGGAGATTGTTTTCGTGTGGAAATGACCAATCAAAGACTAATATAATGCTTATGCTGTTGTCACATGACTCTCGCATCATTTTGCATATATAAGCTCACTTTCTCATTATAATAAACTAGAAGTGTTCATAGACTGAACTTGTGTGTCAGCGTGAGTCTCTTCCAGTGTGCACACATTCCAGGGCTGGCCAGCATCATAAATTAGGACAGGAACAGATAAGCACTGGACGATTAAGTCCTCAACTAAATCACTGGTACATGCAGAGTTGGATTTACCCCGTGCACTGCAGGGTGGGAAGGTGTGGCAGTAGATAACCTATCAAGAGCTGTCAGTGAATTTAGCTGCAGGAATGATAGGGGTACAGGGGCAAGCAAGACTGACATGGGGGGGCCCCTGGGCAATAGGGGATCATGGGGCCCCTGTGTCCTTGCCCACGCTCAAAGCACACCCAAAAAAGCCTATAAAAGGTACCATGGGCATTTCATGGGGCCCCCTACTGACCCCGGGCCCTCGAGCAGTGCCAGAGTGCTTAAATGGTCAGTCCGCCCCTGCTCAGGACCCTCTGTATTTAAAGCAAGCCAGTGATTTACCTACAAGTATGCCAGAACTTAGGTTTCCATTAATGGGAGCCCCACCAGTAGCACATGCTTACCATTCCTTCACTCCCCCACTGCGACAGTCTTACTGCATGGTGTGGCTGATGTATATGTATAAGTATGTGCACAGAGTGGGGTCACCGGTAAAGTGAACCTGTTGTTTCACCCTTGAAGAATTCCTGCTTGCAGTTGTTTGGAATGCTTTTAATTTTTTTTTTAATCTACTGAACTTGGTTTAGACCCCATTATTCACTTTAAGATCATTACGGTGGACAAGGGAGCTCTCATAATGTCTGAGAAAAAAAAAAAAAAAGATTGAAAGTGTTCCTAAACCCAGGACCCTGCATTCACTATATCTGGTCTCCCCAGACCCTGCATTCCCTATATCTGGTCTCCCCGGACCCTGCATTCCCTATATCCACTCTCCCCGGACCCTGCATTCACTATATCTGGTCTCCCCAGACCCTGCATTCACTATATCCGGTCTCCCCGGACCCTGCATTCACTATATCCGCTCTCCCCGGACCCTGCATTCCCTATATCCGCTCTCCCCGGACCCTGCATTCACTATATCCGGTCTCCCCGGACCCTGCATTCACTATATCTGGTCTCCCCGGACCCTGCATTCACTATATCTGGTCTCCCCAGATCCTGCATTCACTATATCTGTTCTCCCCCGGATCCTGCATTCACTATATCTGGTCTCCCCGATCCTGCATTCACTATATCTGATCTCCCTGGACTCCGCATTCACTATATCCGCTCTCCCTGGAACCTGCAATCACTATATCTGGTCTCCTCGGACCCTGCATTCACTATATCCGCTCTCTCCGGACCCTGCATTCACTATATCCTATAAAACTCTAGCAATACACACCAAACTGAGCATGTGCAGTCTTCCCCCAAGGCTCTGTACTATCAGCAGATGGATTGGAGACAGAAGAAGAAGGGGAGGATCAGAGACGACAGGATCAGCCTTTTTACACAATGGGGAGGATTAACCCCTTAGGTTCCACAGTGAGTATAACAAGCATGCTTTACTGCATATACAGACTGATTGTACTGTTGTGGGGTTAGTAACACTTTAAAGCAGTAAATAACGTTCAAGTACAAGGAGAACAAGAACAGGACTGCATTTTATCAACTGAACATCAAGATAACCACAATTTTTTTTTGTTCAAAACCTTTATTAGATTGTAAGCTCTCATGACCAAGCCCCTCCAATCCCTCTTGTATTGAATTGTATTGCACTGTCGCTTTAGATTGTAAAGTGCTGCGCAAGCTGTTGGCGCTGTATAAATCCTGTATAATAATAATAATCTGTATTATAATGTTAACAGGGTTACTGTATTTTCCGGCGTATAAGACAAATTTTTACCCCTTGAAAATCTTCTCAAAAGTCGGGGGTCGTCTTATACGCCGGTATACGGCATACTGACACTTTTTAGGGGGGCGGCGCGGTGCTGCCGCCGCCTCCCCCCTTCCAATGGAAGGGACACTAAGTACAGGGGTGGGCAGGGCTGCTGTTTCTTACCTGGCTCCGGTCCCACGACGATCCGGTCCAGGAAGCGCGGCTGCTCCTTCAGTTTGGCCACTGGATGTTCGCGCGGCTGCTCGGCTCTGCCTCCTCACTGGTGATTGGCCGCCAGAACTGTAGCACAGGAAAGGCACACAGGCGGCCAATCACCGACGAGGGGGGCGGAGCCGAGCGGCCCCCGAAAATCGAGTGAAGGAGCGGCCGGTAAGTGTGCCGTGTAGAGGTGCTGCTGCAACCACATATGCTGGCTGCAGCAGCACCATACTAGAACAGAGGTCAGCAAGTGTAATTGGTGTCAGTGGGAGGAATAGTGCCCCATCATTGGTGTCACTGATACTAATGATGGAGCACTATTCCTCCCACTGACACCAATGATGGGGCACTATTCCTCCCCCCCACTGACACCAACGATGGGGCACTATTCCACTCCCCACTGACACCAATGATGGGACACTATTCCTCCCACTGACACCAATGTTGGGACACTATTCCTCCCACTGACACCAATGATGGGGCACTATTCCTCCCACTAATACCAATGATGGGGCACTATTCCTCCCACTGACACCAATGATGGGGCACTATTCCCCCCACCAATGATACCAATGATGGGGCACTATTCCCCCACTGATACCAATGATGGGGCACGATTCCCCCCACTGACACCAAAGATGGGGCACTATTCCCCCCACTGATACCAATGATGGGGCACTATTCCTCCCACTGATACCAATGATGGGGCACTATTCCTGCCACTGATACCAATGATGGGGCACGATTCCTCTCAATGACACCAGTGATGCGGTGCTATTCTTCCCACTGACACCAATGATGGGGTGCTATTCCTCCCACTGACACCAATGATGGGGCACGATTTGTTGCTCTGACACCAATGATGGGGCACTATTCCTCCCACTGATACCAATGATGGGGCACTATTCCTACCACTGATACCAATGATGGGGCACTATTCCTCCCACTGATACCAATGATGGGGCGCTATTCCTCCCACTGATACCAATGATGGGGTGCTATTCCTACCACTGATACCAATTATGGGGGCACTATTCCTCCCACTGATACCAATGATGGGGCACTATTCCTCCCACTGACACCAATGATGGGGCACTATTCCTCCCACTGACAACAATGATGGGGCACTATTCCTACCACTGATACCAATGATGGGGCACTATTCCTCCAACTGATACCAATGATGGAGCACTATTCCTCCCACTGACACCAATGATGGGACACTATTCCTCCCACTGATACCAATGATGGGGCACTGTTCCTCCAACTGATACCAATGATGGAGCACTATTCCTCCCACTGACACCAATGATGGGACACTATTCCCCCACTGATACCAATGATGGGGCACTATTCCCCCCACTGATACCAATGATGGGGCACTATTCCTCCCACTGATACCAATGATGGGGCACTATTCCTCCCACTAATACCAATGATGGGACACTATTCCTCCCACTGACACCAATGATGGGTCACTATTCCTCCCACTGACACCAATGATGGGTCACTATTCCTCCCACTGACACCAATGATGGGGCACTACTATTCCTCCCACTGGTGTGCATTGCTAGAGGGGTAGTCTTATACGGCGAGTATAGCCCAAACACTACATTTTAGCAGGAAAAGTAGGAGGTCGTCTTATACGCTGGAAAATATGGTACATTTAAATAATAAAAAAATAGTAAATACAGGATTAGTAAGGAATCAGACACATCTCTAGAACTGGGACAATTGTCAATTAGTGTTCCATAGACAATATTTTTTTCTGTAAGAAAATGTGTGGGTCATCATCGATCGTTATTAGAAACGTTCTCTGTTCATTTATTATCCTCAGTGAAGGATGATGCTAAAATTGCCAATAATTACCCATAAATTAAATGTTTTATTTTGGGACACGTGATAAATCCCAGGAGCATCTTAATGAGGAAGCTGTTGTTATGCCGCAGAAAAAAAATAATGTATGCTCATTACCAAACAAATTGCGTAGAGTCGTGTTAATAAATCCCTGGAGCCAAAAGTCACAATATTAATCATTTTATCTACAAAATACGCTCTCTCTGGACATCACATTGTATTGTATGTACAGGTTTACCATAGTATCATTATTATTTTATTATTATACAGGATTTATATATTATTATTATTATTATACAGGATTTATATATTATTATTATTATACAGGATTTATATATTATTATTATTATTATACAGGATTTATATATTATTATTATACAGGATTTATATATTATTATTATACAGGATTTATATATTATTATTATTATACAGGATTTATATATTATTATTATTATTATACAGGATTTATATATTATTATTATTATTATACAGGATTTATGGCGCCAACAGTTTGCTCAGCACTGTACATTATAATGGGAGACAATACATGAGACAATACAGTTCAATACAAGAGGGATAGGACGGGCCTGATCCTGGGAGCTTACAATCTAAGAGTAATGTCTGTTTAATGGGAATACCAAATGTTTTATCGTTAATCTATGATGAGAAATATGGGGGATGCCATTTCTGACCTCAAAGATTATAGAAAGTCCACTTAAAGTGTTACTAAACCCACAACAGTAAAATTAATCTGTGTATACAGTAAAGCATGCTTGTTATACTCACTGTGGAATCTAAGGGGTTAATCCTCCACATTGTGTAAAAATGCTGTTTGATCCTGTCTTCTCTGATCCTCCCCTTCTTCCTGTGTCCCCAGTCCATCTGCTGATAGTACAGAGCTCTAGGAGTCAACTCTGCACATGCTTAGTTTAGTGTGTATTGCTAGAGAGGTATTTTTTTTTCCTTTGGGAGGGTGCATGTAATCAGCACAGAGCCAATCAGCACTGTCCAGGCAGAGGGTCAGGGGTCATGCAGCGTCATAGGACAGTCAGAGCAGAATACAAACTCCTCCTACAAGCTTTACCTGTGCTCAGCTGGACATTGATAGAAGTCACAAGACTGCTATATACTACTGATGAGAAAAGGTATTTAGCAGTTTATATTTACTAAAATAATTGCAGTTCCATGCTCTGTGCACTGTGGGAGACCAGATATAGTGAATGCAGGGTCCGGGGAGACCAGATATAGTGAATGCAGGGTCCGGGGAGACCAGATATAGTGAATGCAGGGTCCGGAGAGACCTGATATAGTGAATGCAGGGTCCAGGGAGAGCGG